ACATACTATTAGCTGTAGAATGTAATTTATTCACTATTAGCTGTAGAATGTAATTTACTCCCTATTGGCTGTCATTTTCTCGCAACTTCCTTAAATGGGTGATGTGCATTTTGCACCCTCAAATTAGATGTCGTTGGCATATTGTACCCTGAAATTGCAAAAATAGCAGAATGCACCTTCCAATTAGATATTACTTCGCAAAGTGCACCCTGGTTCAATTTTTGGCTAAAATTGTGACCGGCTTCCTACGTGTGAGATTGAAGAGGAAAATGATAAAAATTATTGGATCACATTCACATTTTTATGAATTGATGAAAATTAAATACAAAAATATATTTTGACTTTGGATGTTTTTATTTTGATTTTCAATATTCCGATATCCATGTTTTCAAAAACTGTTTGTACATCAATCGAAATTATATTTGAAAATTCTAATTTCCGATCCAATACTCTCATAGTTTCATAAAAAAATAGTCGATTTAACATCTCAACTTTCTCTTCTCTCATTTATAGTGGTTTCAAAGTCCATCTACAGCAGAATCACGATAAATCAATAATCTCGCTTAAATAATAGTTTCTCTCGATCTCGACTCGGTGAGAATGTGTGAAATTCTTAACTCGATAATTTAATAATTCGCTAAATTAATAGAATTTCTTTTGTACCAAGGTTTAACTGTATCTCATTTTTTGATAAATTTGTTATATTTGATTCTAATTTAATGTTATCTATGTGGATAAATATCACTTTATCATTCGCACCATGTCCGAAAACTATATATAAACGTAATAAGATTAATCATTCCTCTAATAAGAAACAAATTTCTTACTTTCATCATTTACCCTTTGTTTTCAAGTGCTAATAAAACTCATATTAAACATGGTTTATGTAATTTATTTATTTAAAAAAAAAAAGAAAATAAAAACGAAATACTTATTCGTCCGGAGTTGACTGAGTTGATGAATCTTTAGACTCTACAGCCTCTACTCTTGTCCATTTTGTGAACTTCATAAGCAACAATACCCCTATCATCTGTGCTGATAGCCCACAAATAAATCCAATCCACAATCCCTGTGCATAAAGATTATTAACTTTTAAATTAAGGGTCTGCATGCAAATAAATAAAATAGGAGGTCTTAATAATAAATACCTTGGCATGTAGATTGAACTTGAAACCAAGAAGAGCAGCAATAGGCAAGCCAATGAAATAGAAAGCACCTAAATAAATAAAAATAGCCAAATGCTGCCAACCACATCCTCTCACCACCCCTACAAAAATATTTAATTGGATGCAAAATTAATTAAACCGATCGGATTTTCGTTCGAAACCCTAAACCCTACACTACTCAAATAAACGACAAATCTTCGTACAAACCTGATAGGACTGCTTGAACGAAATCGAATGATACGGACACCGCAAGTAGGGGTACCATCGAGGCGTAAGCGTTAATGACGACAGGGCTGTGACTGAAGGCTCTAGCCCAAATATTATGTCCAAAACACAATGCTAAAACAACACATAGTGCAATAACAACTGTCAGTTTAAGAGTGACAGCCACCGCACGCTTAGCTCGGTCCGTATTTCCAGCTCCTAACTCATTCGCTACCCTCGTGCTGCATTTATATATATATATATATATATATATATATATCAACCACATGATTTACAATTTAATGCTCTAACAATTATAAGAAGAAGAATATAGGAAGTTGAAAAATATTTTTTAAGATGAATGTTTTTTTTACCTGACAGTACCACTTAGACCATATGCAACCAGGTAGCAGATGGCTTCTGTGTTCACACTGTAAATGTAAAATTCATGGTTGATTACTAATTAATTAATAATAGTGGTTTATTCTATGCTACATTTGGGATTAAAATAATTTCTTCGGTTTCTATAATCCCCAATTATCTCTCGTCTAACCACTTTAAAAATACACGTGCAAGAGGTTCACAAAGAATTACTCCCTCCGAATCCGGACCATGTTATATGTCGTTTTGGGTTGTTGCAGAAATATTTAGAAAATTATGTATGCATGGATTAAAAAATAAAAAAACAAAAATTGTGGGATAGAGGGAGTATGGAAATTATATATAATATAAGTATATAACTGACCACATAGCAATTAGAGAGGTACTGATTTTGGAGTTTGGCATCAATCCCGCTAGCAAAACAAGAATTTGGAAAGCCCAACACTCCAAGCTGATACAAATATGTAAAAGAAAAAAATGAGAATTCGTCGGAAAATGTGAAACGAGTATATATGAAACAATTAGAAAAAAATCTTACCAAACCATCGCTGCAGAAAGCAAAGCCAGCTTTAAATTGGAATAAACGTAACTCAACGACTCCAAAGTGAACCCTTCCCAAGTTTTCTCAATCTTCTTAGCTTTAAAAACGTATATGAGTAACATAAAAGTTGATAACCATAACGAAATCGAAGCTGCTAATGGAGCTCCCCTATACGCAAGTGGGGTCCGGTGAACCAAAGCATAAGCAATTCCAACGTGGAGGACAAGAGGAACGAATGAGCACACAACAAGTGGCATAACAACAGATTGTGTCTGTAGAAACCTTAATACGTTTTGAAATAAACCGACAGCAAATATGCCGGGAATGAGATACTTGAGATAGAGACCGGCTGCTTTTGCAATTTCATGATCTTGATGTAGTAATATCAGAATAACGTCGGAATACCACCATAGAACAGATACTACGATTGCGAAGATTAGTGTAATGATGCAAGAAGCCTGAAGGTATATTCCTAGCATCCTGTACTTTTTCGCACCGAATGCTTGCCCGCATAATGTTTCAAGTGCACCACTTAAGCCAACCTACACCAAATAAAACTAGTGGAAACAAACTTCGACAAGTCCTGATTTGGCTGGTAGGATTAGCCATGATTAATTAAATAATTGAATTTTACTGAATGTTCGGTTAGTCCAATAACTTTTTGGGTATGAACTCAATTGCAACTTTTGGGATTTCAAGGTATAGTGTTGGACCATAGAAGGTTCAATAAAAAAGTTCTATAAACGGCAAGGTAAAACATGATAAAATAGTATTTCAGGGTCGGTCCGACAAGTTATTGTGTTTATCAAAGATCAAACAAAGTCCAATTATTTTGCTAATTAATTATGGATGATCGCCCCAACCAAACGAGGCATTACTTTAAATTTGAAGAGGTTAAGTAATAATTACCATGAAAGCAAAACCGGAGACGGAAGCCCATGAATTGGCGAGGTTAGAACCGGCGAGCTCAAGGTCGCCTAGGTTGCCGGCAAACATGACCGACACAAGAGGGATCAAGTAATACGCAATATTTAGAAGTATCATCGGCAAAGCAAAGAGTATCTGATCCTTGGCCTCCGCCACGTCAACAACCTTGCTCCACCACTTCTCTGCCGCCCTCGATCTCCGGGGCCGACTCTCCACCGCCTCAGGGTCGCCGCCTTGTGAAGACATTTTCACCTAACCCCACCTACACCAAGTTACAATTCAAGCCAATGCATTCAAAAAATGATGTGACTGACAAATTAAATGAACTTTTATATATATAGAGTAAAATACAGTAGAAGAAGTAACATGAGTAGATATAGCTAAAAGTGGGTTGGTTAATAACTTGCATTAACAGCCTAGATTGCACAATTCTAACTAACCATCTAAATTACAGATTCTCATGTTAGGCGAAAATAAGACGGTTGGGCCTAATTCTTTAATAAATAAAGTTAATTATAATTTCTATTTCTTTATCTAAAATATATTTTTTTTAATGAGTAATTAGTATTTGATCTAAAAGTCTTTATTCTTCGAATTCAAATGCATGAACCCCAAATTCTCAAATTATGCTCCTTGTTATATCAAGCTAAAAAAAATATCAAAACAAAATATGGAATCAGATATCGATCGAGATGAATAAGTTTAACGTTAAAAAAATTGCCGAAAGAAGTACGACTAACCAATTAAAATATTGAATTACTTGAAGTAATATTATATTATAGATTTTCGATACATCAGTTGTTTATAGAGTATTGGGGATAACAAGTTGCCTCTGCAAATAATTTGTTCGAGGTTGAAGTTAATTAAGTTACACCTGGCGTTTATTTTAGAGTGGTGTTATTTCCACTTATGTGTCTTAACTCACCACCCAAGATATATAAAATATTATAAATACCCCTCAAATTTATAAGTCATCAGTCTTTCTGTAAGTTATTTCTATTTTATTTTGTTTGTTTTTTTTTATTTTTTTTTATTTTTTTAACTTTTTTAATTTTTTAAACTTTTAATTTTTAAAATTTTTAACTTTTTTTGTGCAATGGAATATTTATTACAATGTATTTAAACTTCCATATGAGATGACCTACATATTATATAACTTTTTTAGGAAACAAAATTATATATGGCCAATTTTGGAGAAAGTTCAGGACCTCCCATACAAATACTTTTAATTTATTTCTCGAAGAATGTAAATTTTTGCTCTTTTTGACCTTCGAAAATGTTTTTCTCTTAGGAGAGTATTATTCACTTAAGCTGTAGAGGGTGAGATTTTGCAGTAAATATTCCAGTGAAAATGGTGGGGTTCTTTTTATAAATATTTTAATTTTGTTTATAAATTTGTAAAAAATATAGATAAAAGAAGAAGAAAGGGATAAAATGAAAAATATATTTAATATGGTGGTGAAATAAGATATTTTAAGGGTGTAAATAACACGTCTCTAATTTTATTGTTTAACTCCCCCGTGTTTCCATGAAAATTCATATTCCGTTAACAATTAACAACATTTGAAATGGAGGATGCAAGTTCTTGTGCAATTACATGGGCCTTTTGTGCATGTTTTCTACAATAAAAAAGGAGAATTAAAGCAAAATTAATTTATTCATTTAAAACTCATATTTTTTTTTTGTCCTCAAATTAAGTCGAACACATTTATTTCGTTGCAATATGAAATGTAAAATATTAATAGTAAAGGTGAAATTTTGAACGCATGTTTGTTCAAGATATTCGAAAATTATAAGTGTAATAAGATTACCCATTTCGTGTGTTTTTCATCTCTAATTCCCTGTGGACGACATTCCGTTAGTGGAGCAACAGGATGTTTGTGGTTGCAAAAAACTATGTATTAGCCGACTTTAAGATAAGTATACACCCTTCTGTGACTGTAAGAGTGCGATTCACTATCTTTAATAAAAAAAAAAACAAAAAAAGAGTATATATATCAAGGTTGTAAAAATCGGTAATCGGGTCCGAGTCGGTCAGGCACCGACTCACGATTAATCGGTGCGGCGGTGATTAATCGGTGATAAATCGGAAATAAATCGATTTTTAAAATTTAATATAATATATTTGTAGATATTATTTATAAACACTCAAAACATAGATAAGAAATATTTAAACATAGTTATATCTCCATCATGTATATATATTCTAAAACATAATAAAAGTTTAATAATAATAAGATCATAATACATAAATATCCTTATAAAATATAAATAAAAAGGCAATTTTTTTTGAATTTACATACATTCTTGGCATACATCATTAGTTCTTTAAAAATAATAATTAACATAAACAAAATAAAGCATAAACTCTTTTTTTTTTTATTAAAATCCCAACTTTTATTTTGATTTATAAAAAAAAAAAAAAAAAAAAAAACGGATTTTTGACCGATTTTTTGCCGATTTGACTGCCTCGGACCGCCTCAGACCGCCTCGGACCGCCTCACAGGCAAAAAACCGATTTTTCAAACCTTTACACTAAAATCGTAAAGGTTTTGGACCGCCTCCGCCTCGGCGACCGATTAATCGGCCGCCTCGGCCGATTTTTAGAACACTGATATATATATACCAAGAAACAAATTTCTTACTTTCATCATTTACCCTTTGTTTTCAAGTGCTAATATTACTCTCACATATCAAATATGGCTTATATACTTTATTTATCCATTAAAAAATAAATAAAAACGAAGTTATTATTCATCCCGGCGAGGATACATCGATTGAGTTGATGAATCTTGAGATAGCTCTACCGTTGTCCATTTTGTGAACTTTGTAAGCAACAACAATAGCCCCACCATCTGTGCTGATAGCCCACAAATTATGAGATTAATCCAATCCACAATCCCTGTGCATAAAGATTATGGTTTAATCTCAAAAAATCCATGACAAAGACACTTAATTAAAAAAGAGACATCCAACTTTTTTGTCTTTCAAATATTTCTAGTTCATTCAAACTTATTTGTAAATAAGGAAAACCCTTTATATATATATCAAAATTACCCCAAATTCTTGAAACCCAATTCAACTCAAATTTCATGATTTACACCCCAATTTAGCCAGATTAACCAATTTTGACCCTAATTTCAATTTTGACCCGTCACCACCGGAGACCGCTGTTGACCTTTTTTTTTTTTTTTTTTTTTTTTTTTTTTTTTTTTCGGTAGGTTAACCGCCGTTGACCGCCGGGTCTCCGGCGTTGACCTTTTTTTTTTCTTTTTTCTTTTTTTACTTTTTTTAAAAAAATATTTTAATTAATATTACTGTCTTGGCTGCTAAGTTACTGTCTCCTGCAGTTATTTAACTGTCGGTGACAGTAATTTACCTGTTAATTGACCTTTTTTTTTCTTAAAAAAATATTTTAATTAATTATTACTATTTTGGCTGCTAAATTACTGTCTCCAGAAGTTATTTAACTGCTAATTGACCTTTTTTCTTCAAAAAAATATTTTAATTAATATTACTATCTTGACTGCTAAATTACTGTCTCCAACAGTTATTTAACTGTCCGAGACAATGATTTAACTTTTAATTGGCCCCTTTTTTTTTGAAATTTTGTTTTTTCTTACATAAAATTATTTTTAATTAATATTAATGTCTTGGCTGCTAAATTACTGTCTCTAACAGTAATTTGACTGTCTGAGACAGTAATATTACTGTATTAATTAATTTTATCATCTTGGCCTGCATTTTTGCTGTCTTCGACTGTAATATTACTGTCTCCAACCGTAATATTACTGTCTTATGCAATAATATTACTGTTTGGGACAGTAATATTAGTAAAATTACTATTCGGAAAAATAATATTCATAATATTAATGTCCCAAAACGTAATATTACTGTCTGAGACAGTAATTTAGCAGCCAAAACAGTAATATTAATTGAAATATTTTTTTCTAAGAAAAAACAAAATTTCAAAAAAAAAATAATAATTATAAAAAAATCAACGCCAGAAGCCGGCTAAAAAAAATTCAGAAAAAAAAAGTCAATGCCGGAAAAAAAATTCGGAAAAAAACATATTTTCTGAAAAAAAAAATCAAAAAATTATTAAAACATGGGTCAATGTGATATATTTGTTTAAATACGGGGTCAATATGTAATATTAAGGAAGTTAGAGTATAATGAATGGAATTAATAACAATTATATTATGGAGGGTATTTTAGAATAAAGACATTGGATAAGTTTATTTGAAACACTTTTTTTTTTTTTTGAATCAATGTTCATTTAAGTCCATTGTCATGTCCCTTTTTATAGGTTAAACTTGAAACCGAGAATACCCGCAATAGGCATGCCAATAAAATAGAAAAGTAGCTAAAGTTGTAGAAGCACCCAAATGCTGCCAACCACATCCTCTCACCACCCCTATAACAATATTTAATTTGCTGCCAAATTAATTAAACCGATACCAATTCAGGATTTTCGTTAAATCCTAAACCCTACACTACTCAAATAAAAAAAAAAAAATCAGATCTTAATATAAGTTGCTAGGTATTGATTTTCCCTTAAACAAAACCTTATAGGACTCCTTGAACGAAATTGAATGATACCGACACAACAAGTAGGGGTGACATTGTGGCGTAAGCGTTAATGATGATGGGACAGTGACTGAAGGCTCTAGCCAAATATTATGTCCGAAACAACACATAGTGCAAGAAGAACTGTTAGTTTAAGTGTGACAACCACCGCACGCAGGGGCGGAGCCAGGATTAGAAAGTAGGGGGGGTAACTAAAATTCCGGGGTTCGGGGCAGCGCTCCGAAAAAAAATTTAGGTTCACAAGACATTAAAAAATAGGTTTATACTGCGAATTTTTAATTAAAATAATATATATATATATATATATATATATATATATATATATATATATATATATATATATATATATATATATATATATATATATATATATATATATATTTATATATATATATATATATATATATATATATATATATGTGGAGAGACACAGACATGTCTATATATACTTATATAGAGACACTGATA